TGGGAGGCATGTTAGAGGCCCTTGGGGAGCGCGATTCCTGTGGTGGGACAATAAGGATGTCTACGTTGACACACTTCTCCTGCACCCGGCCCTACCCCTGCCCCCAGAACTGTGAAGGCCATGCAGCCCAGGGCCACCTGGGAGGGGCCTTGGGGTCCATCTCCGACCCACAGACTGCCTTGGGTCCTGCCCACTCTTAGTAGCTGGGGGCCCTCGGGCAGCTGTTCAGGTTTAACCCTGGAGGGTTATGTGAGGACTGAATCAACATGGAAGGTGCTCAGAACAGCCCCAGCATGCAGCATGCGCTCAGCCACATTTTTATTATTTATGACCTTGGGCAGGTGGTTAACCTCCTTCAGCCTCAATGTCCTCTTTTGTCCGCCTGCTCCGAGGTTCCTTATGAGCATGAATGAGGTAACACCGGAACAGTGCTCTCTGCTCAGGGCTCAGCACAAGGCTGAGCTCAAGAAAAATGACTTTATTAATAGGTTATTGAGAACCATCTGCTGGCCTTATGGCATAGAATGTGTTCTTACCCGCTTGGCGATGCCGGCGATCCTGAGTGTACCTGCAGAGCCTCACCTGCCCCCTGGGCCCCTGGGTACCCCTGAGCTTTCCCCACTCTCTGCCCTTAAAGATCAGGCCCTTCCTGCTGCTGGCACTGGGCAGTATAATAGCAGACTCAGTTGTGAGCAGGTGGCTCCTGGGGCGTGGGTGTGGACTCTGAGGATTTTTCCATGCTGGAAAAGCTGCTGGGTCTGTGGAGGTAGGCAGGAGCTGACCTCACTCTGCCCCCTCTGCTGTCTCCGTGGACCCTCCAGCTCCCTTCGCCAGGATGTCTCATGGCTGCCGTGGAACTCTCTATTGTTTTATTTTGTATTTTGTTTTGTTTTGTTTGAGATGGAGTTTCACTCTGTCGCCCAGGCTGGAGTGCAATGGCACGATCTCGGCTCACTGCAGCCTCTGCATCCTGGCTTCAAGCAATCCTTTGCCTCAGCTTCCTGAGTAGCTGGGATTACAGGCACGCACCACCACGCCTGGCTAATTTTTGTATTTTTAGTAGAGACAGGGTTTCACCATGTCGCCAGCCTGGTCTTGAACTCCGGCCCTCAAGTGACCCACCCGCCTTGGTCTCCCAAAGTGCTGGGATTACAGGCAAGAGCCACTACACCTGGCCTATTATTTTTATTTTACTTTTTAGAGACAGGGTCTCTGTCACCCAGGCTGGAGTGCAGTGGTGCTATCATGGCTCACTGCAGCCAGGAACTCTTGGACCCAAGCAATTCTCAGCCCTCCAAGTATCAGGGGACGACAACCGTGCACCACTACACCCGGCTAAGTTTTAAATTATTTTTGGTAGAGATGGGGTCTTGCTAGACTGGCCTTGAACTCCTGGGCTCAAGTGATCCTCCCACCTCAGACTCCCAAAATGCTGGGATTACAGGCATGCGCCACTGTGCCCGGTCCCCTGTCCCCTCCATTATCACTTCTGTCCTGCTTACTCCAGAGAGTTCCCCTGACCCGGCCAGATACCCCTCCCTGTTGTGCCCAGCAGTGGGAAGAACTGCATCCCCTCCTCATGCTCTTGTGCTATACATTATCTCTGGCATCCCCTGCGTAGCCCTGGTCCTACAGCCACTCATAGCTATGCAGAAACTGCCCTGCCAGGCTCTGCGTGAGGCCCCTTCTTCTCAGGAGCTGGATGGGAGCTTGTGGGTGCTAAGTAGCAGACAGACCCTGGGGCAGTCCCACATGTCCTTATGATCTTTCTCTAGCACTGGGCTTTTCCACCCTGACCTGAGGTCCATGATCAATCCCTTCCACTCCTGAAAGGCTGCACTCCCCTGAAGGGGTATCTCTGTGGCAGCTGACCTCTAGCCTCTGGCCTGTGTCAGAGCTGCTGGGGTTGTTCTGGCACACGGGGCACAAATGCAGGCTGGAGAGAACCCAGGGATAGGCCTGGGCAGCCCTCTCTCTCCCATGGCACTCTGCAGTTTCCCCACCTTCAAAATGGGGAGAACCATGTTCATCCAACTTGGCAGGTATGAGGGTGGCATGCTGAGAACCTCAGGACCCAGAACCAAGTATTGCTGGCAGTTGGACCTGCCTCGGGACTATAAGCCTCAGAGCAGAGCTGTGTCAAGGCTGCCCGGTGTGGATTTCACCGGAGTGAGCCCGAGCGCCCACACCACTACGGCCCCCTCAGACCCCTAGGGCCACTTTGTCAAGGGAAGGCCAGCAGCAGGCAGGCAGGGGAGTAGGTGGGACATCACTGGGACCTGTCCAGGCGTCTCCTGGGCCAGGGCTTAGCTGCTACCGCCTGGTCAGAGCCGAGGCCCACGGAGCGGCCACAGACTCCCACTGTGCAAGCACTGTGCCTCCTTGTGTAGCGCCCCAAGCCCGGTGCACACATCTGCCCGCCTTAGACACAACGGGGCTGTGTTCCCAGAGCCAGCCGGCACCCTGCCCGGGAGGGCCCTGCTGCTGCAGATCCTGTCCCCTGCCGCCAGTGCGGGGAACAGGCAGCACCGAGGCCCAGGCGCACAGCAGACTATGCCCCATGCCATGTGCCCAAGACACGCCCCATCACACTGCATTCCTGGGTCTCTCTCCTGCCATGAAAGCCATTTGTGTGCCAGGCACCGTTGAGGAGCTGGGGTTCAGCAGTGCCCATAGGCTGATCTTCCCCTCATGTTGCTGACTGCTGGTGAGGGGAGAGGGTGATAAATAAGGAAACACGCCCCTGTCTGAGGGCGCCTGGTCCTCAGAGACCGTCAGTCCAGGAGGTGCAGATTTCAGCAGGGTGGCCGCAGGACGGTGTGAGGGTGCCAGGTGTGGGGAGCTGGAGCTCTGCTGCGTGGGCATCTGGAGCCTAGGGCCACGGGGTGGCTGCACCTTGCCCTCACCTATGTCTTTCCTCATAAAGAGGAGAGGGTGACCCATTCCCCCAGAATGTGTTCTCGGCTTCTAGGGTACATATCTCAGCCCCGTCCTGGGGTTTCCTCATATCAGAAGAAACCCCAAATCTCTGTGTCCACAGCCTCTCCCGCCAGGTCTGCATGAGTCACTTTGGCTCCACCCTTCCTGCCAGGAATCTTCTGAACCAGGTGGCAGCTCAGGTGTCGGCAGCTGGGGATGGAGTTACACAGCCTGGAGACAGACACGCCTGGCTTGTGACAGACAGCTGCTTGCCTGGCTGCTTGGGGATGAGCTGGGAAAGTTACAGCCCCTGCCTCCTGCTCCAGGAGCCCCTCCCCACGGAAGGAGCTGCCTGGGGGCTGTTCAGAGTCACTAGGGACACAGGTCATGGAGTCACACAGACCTGGCTTTGAACCTTGCCTTTGTCCTCATTAGCTGTACAGACAAGTATATAAGCGTTCTGTGCCTCAGTTTCCTCACCAGGAAAATGAGATCATTACCACCTCCCTGGGCTGTTGCTAGGAGGCGAGTGCCCCATGCCTGGCAGGGGCTGGGCACTCAGGATCCTTACCATCATCACTTCTGTCATGGGAAGTGTGTTCCACCTTGGTGGGGGCATGACACAGCTACGGCTTCTCACAGTTGGTGGATGCGTTTGTTCAAGGAAGGAGCTGAGGGCTGGGGGTGAGTGGCTGGGCAGCCCTCAGGGTCAGGCCCACCAGAGTCTGTGTGCTTTTCCTCAGGTCCTGGTTCCTTGAGATGGGACTGCACTCCTCCCCGACTGCAGGGAGCAGGGCTCAGGACGCCTGCCTGGGAGGGTCCAGTACAATGGGCCCTGTGTATGAAAGGGGGCCAGGGGCGGCCCAAAGGCTGCCTGGCCCAGCCCACCAGACCCCATCTGAGAGTCCCACCAGGAAGGGCCCCTCAGCTCCCTGGGCTGGTTTTTCTCACAGAGGAAATTCCACAGTAGACCCTAACTGGATGTCCACTGCTCAGGTGCTGGGTGCGAGAACACAGTGGCGCCCAGGGAGAAGGCGCAGGAGCACTGCACTGCCCCGGGAGCCAGCTCCCTGCCCTGCAAAGCCTGCCTGCCTCAGACCAACCTGTGGCTTGGGCCCAGCTGCTCCTGCTGAGGCTAGGGGCTGGGGAGAATGGCTGGCCTGGAGCTGCATGTCCCATCTGTCGAGGTCCTGTCCCTCCTGCCCATGGCCTGGGTAGCTCTTCTCAGTCCACAAACATTGGTGGTGGGGGACAGAGGCTTAGCAGACCTGTTCCCACATGAGAAACTCCATGGAACCAGGGCCAGGTGGTAGTAACGGTACTGCCATGAGCCTTTCTCCAGAGCAGTCACATCCAGGAAGCCTTCTCGAAAAGGAGGCAGCAGCTGGGGGTGGGTGGGGGGATGCTGAGGTTCTGGCCTTGGCTGAATGTGAGGGTCTCACTTGTGCAGTTCCAGGTGACAGCTGCAGACCCCACTCCTGCCTTCCTCTGCCCCTGGCTGGGCTGCAGGTGGCAGCAGGAGCTTGACACAGTTTGACAGGGTGAGTCACCACCCAGGACAGAGGCAGCATATGGGGCAGTGGGCCACAGGCCCTGAGCTCAGCCTGGGTTTCATGGGAATGCCTCCCGAGAGAGGGGGACGACGTGACGTGGACTGTTTGTGGGGTGCCGCAAAGGCCAGGTGGGCCCCAGCCCGGGGCTGCAGTCTCAGGCGCTTTTCCCTGAGGGGAAAGTGGGCCGGAAGACGCCACATTGGGTCACAGCCTGGGGCTCAGGGCACCGCATCTGCCAGGAGAGCCAAGTCGTGCATGTTTGGGGCAGGGTGGCCTCCTGGAGCCATAGCCCAGCTTTGGTCCTTGTCCCCTGACTCCTGGAGCTCTTGGTGTTCACTGTAGTCCAGCTGTACCAGTCGGGCACAGGAGTCCTTCAGAGGCTTAGGTTGAGGGGTTCCTGCCTCCCCCATTGCTCTGCTGGCCTGGAACCCAGGCAGAATCCTGTTTGGTGTTACACTTTTCTCCCTTAGGGTGGTGTCTCCTGGGGTGGCTGCCTGGGGGCTCTGAACACTCCTTTGTCCCTCACAGGCCATCAGCATCAGCAAAGCCATCAACACCCAGGAGGCCCCTGTGAAGGAGAAGCATGCCCGGCGTATCCTTGGCCAGCTCCTGAGCCCAGGAGTCGGGTGTGGATGTGGGAGTAGCATGGCGCTGCAGGTGGCCTGTGGTCAGCTGTGCCGGGGTCACAAGGTCCCTCGCTGACCCCGGGAAGTAGTGTCCTGTGTGGCTTGTGTCATCACGGAAAACGCCCCCATTGGGCCTAGTTAAGGTCTCCTTGTCTTGCCCTAACTCCTGTCCCCTTGGCTGGACACTGGAGCTCTGGGCTGATGGGCACATGATCGGGGGCTGGCCCTCTTTGGGTGGCTCTGGCCTCTCTCAGCTGTTTGCCGAGCCCCTGAGCTCCCCACACTCTAGTCTCTGCTTTCGCACTTGGCCTTGACATTGCAGGCATCATCCTGGGCACACACCACGAGAAGGGTGCCTTCACTTTCTGGTCCTACGCCATCGGGCTGCCGCTGCCCAGCAGCTCCATCCTCAGTTGGAAGTTCTGCCATGTCCTCCACAAGGTCCTTCGAGATGGGCATCCCAATGTGAGTGGCAGCTGTCCCCTCTGCTCCCCGAGGTGGGGCACTGTCCGGCTGACATGTGGGCTCCAGCCCTGTTCCTGTCCCCTAGCTCTGGGCCGTTCCTCCCGCTCGGTCTCAGGGCCCTACCCTGGGGTTCTGGACCCTCACCCTCTCCCTTGTTTCCTGTGCTGCAGGTGCTGCATGACTGCCAGCGGTACCGCAGCAACATCCGGGAGATTGGTGACCTGTGGGTAGGTCCAGCCCGGTCCAGGCCCTGCCTGGCGTTCGGGGGTTTTCTGAGCATTTGGGGCTGAGCAAAGGGCAGTTCCCTATGGGCAGCTCCCTCTAGATGCCTGGGTTTTCCCAGGGGTGACAGTGGGAGGGGCAGCAGTGGGGCCTGCTCGGGGAGATGCCGTCTGCCTTTGAAGGCCTGGCGCAAGGTGCTCCACACACATAACCCGTGGGCCCTCCAGCTCTGAAGTCACCTGGGCCCTTTAGTCCTCACGAGTTGGGAAATGTGGCAACACCACAGCCCGGGCACCTCAGTGGTAGTTAGAGAGCCCGTAGTGGGGCACAGACTCCTGGGCTCCCTCAGACCTGCTGATAAAGAATCAGGACCAGCCGGGCGCGGTGGCTCACGCCTGTAATCCCAGCACTTTGGGAGGCCGAGGTGGGCGGATCATGAGGTCAAGAGATCGAGACCATCCTGGCCAACATGGTGAAAACCCGTCTCTACTAAAAGTACAAAAAACTAGCCGGATGTGGTGGCGCACGCCTGTAGTCCTAGTTACTCAGGAGGCTGAGGCAGGAGAATTGCTTGAAACCGGAAAACAGAAGTTGCAGTGAGCTGGGATCGAGCCATTGCACTCCAGCCTGGCAACAGAGCGAGATTTGCCTCAAAAAAAGAAAAAAGAAATAGTTATTTAAAAATTCAGGACTGGAGGTCTACATTTTGAGCACACTTGCCAGGTGACTCTTAGATGCAGTAAGGCCTGAGAGCCCTGGGGGACCTGTGTTCTGGATGAGCTGCAAGACCTCAGGAGTTAGAGGTGTCCCGGTGGGCAGAGGGCCTTGGCCTGATTCTCTCTGGAGCACTGCAGGGCACTCGTCTGCCCTGGGCAGCAGGGACACAGGAGCAGGCCAGGCCCTGGAACAGGGACCCACAGGGAGGCCTGACCGAGGCGTTAACCCAGCCCAGGACCACTGCACTGACTCACGTCCCTTGAAGTGAGGAAAACATTGCCCATGGTGCCATCTGCAGATGTGGGCCCAGCTGGCCTGGTCTCAGGGGCCATGGGGCTGGAGGAGGGAGCAGGGAGGATGTGTCCAGGCACCCGTCGGGATGTGCCTCTGCCAGCACCAGCACTTTAATAAAGCGTCCCGCTCAGAATTGGCCTGCTGCCCTGGACAAAGAGCTCTCTTCTCACAAGAGTTTCTTTGGCAGGAATGACAAGGAGGAAGATTAAGGGGAAAAGCTAGAGACAGAGAGGGAGGTTGGTGGAGGCCGGGAGGAGACGTTTGTTGAATGAAGACGTGCCCGGTGGCGGGTCACTGTCATGCCCAGGTCCCTTAGGACTTTTGGATGTGGTCCAGAGCAGTGGTCCCTTACCCTGGCTGTCTTCCCACAGGGACATTTGCATGACCGGTACGGACAGCTGGTGAATGTTTACACCAAGCTGCTGCTGACCAAGATCTCCTTCCACCTCAAGGTGGTTTCCTCGGGGGAGTCATGGGGCTGAGGGACCCGTGGGCTTCTCCCGCTGTGACATCATGGCACATGTTGGGGCATTGAGGGTGGGATCTGTCCTATCCGTGAGTCTTTCCACTAACCTTGTTCTGACTGTGACTAAAGGGGAGACAGGGAGGCCAGGGCGTCCCGAAGCTCCCAGAACACTTCAGGCATTTCCGTGGACGTGGGCAGGGGCCTACTCAGTCCTGGGCTTCCTCAGTCTCTGCTGTCCTGGCTGGGTGCTCCCCTCCTCCCAGCCCCCTCCACTGCCCTCTGCCACCTATGTGGACCACACCCTGGGTCTGCCAGGAGCAGGGCCCAGGGACCCAGCATGGGGCCCCTGGTTCAGTGGCAGCTGGGTGGGGGTTCTCTCCACAGCACCCTCAGTTTCCTGCGGGCCTGGAGGTGACAGATGAGGTGCTGGAGAAGGCAGCTGGGACCGACGTCAACAACATGTGAGTCACTCTGCGTGCCTACCCGGCACCTCCCCTTGGCTTCTCCACTCCCTACCGGGTTTCACACCCAGGCGTCTGCAGGGGACAGTGGGGTTGAAGAATGAGGCGGTGGCCTTATTCGTTGATGCTTATGCCCCCAGGGAACAGAGGTTGAAGTTAAAGGGATGGTGTGTTCTTGAAGGACTGTCGTCCTGGCAGAGGCATGCTGATCCCAGAGCCACGGTGTCTGCGGTGCCCCATCCCCACTCTCCACTGGGTGGTCTCAGGACAAGTTGGCGGGCCCACCCACCCTTTTCATCCCTCTCCCACTTCTCTTCCGTAGCTTCCAGCTCACTGTGGAGATGTTTGATTACATGGATTGTGAGCTGAAGCTTTCTGAATCAGGTGAGCCATCCAGAGTGGGGATATGGGGGTCTGAGTGTATTGCCAAGTCCCCAGAGGTGGGACGAGAAGAAGAAAGAGGACATTAGTGATCAGACCAACTTACTATGAAATGCCCGTGGCCAGGAGTGGTGGCTCACATCTGTAATCCCAGCACTTTGGGAAGCCGAGGCAGGCAGATCACTTGAGGTCAGAGGTTCAAGACCAGCCTTGCCAACATGGTGAATCTTTGTCTCTACTTAAAAAAAAAAAAACAAAAATTATCCTGTCGTGGTGGCATGACACCTGTATTCCCAGCTGCTCTGGAGGCTGAGGTAGGAGAATCACTTGAACTTGGGAGGCAGAGGTTACAGTGAGCCAAGATTATGCCACTGCACTCCAATCTGGGCAACAGTGCGAGACTCAGTCTCAAAAGAAAACAAAAGAAATGCCCCTGCTCCTCCTGGGGTCCATGCACCTCCAGGGACAGGTAATGGGGCCTCCTGGTACCTCCAAAGCATGGCAGGCTCTAGCAGGTACGTCCATCCCTTTCACCCAGTGAACGTCAGTCCATCAGCCCCAAGACGGGGAGGGTGAGGTGGTGTGCACAGGAGCCACCTTGCCAGGTTCCTGCCCCAGCCTTGGGCCACCTGCAGAGCCTACTTGGAGGAGAGGTGGTTTGGGTCATCCTGCCCATTTTCTGCTCTAGAAATCCTCTCAGTCGTGTCAGACTTCCTAGCAGAGGAACCCGGCAGCTGCTAGACAGGAAATCTCAGAGAGCTCAGCTTCCAGGCTGGAGAAGTGATTGTTCTGAGTGGCAGCTTCAAAACAGCTCATGGGTGACTCAGTGTTCTCCGTCAGAGGGCAAGAAGCAAATGCCTCCTTGAGGGAAACTAGGAATTAAGAGGCAGTTTGGGCAGCCCCCGCCCCGAATCCCCAGGTCTGGCCTCTGCAGCTGGGCGAGTCTGATGGGCACCCAGTTCCAGTGGGTGAGAGGTAGGCTCAGAGTTGGACCCTTGTGCCTGGGAAAAGCCTGCTCAGGATCCAACATGGAGAGCAGGGGGCTGGTGTCCAAAGGTGTGGCCCCAGCTATGCTTCAGGACAGAGCTACCAGGCTGTGTCCTGGTAGAGATGTGCTGAGCCTGAGCCTTTCAGCACGGAGGCCACCAGGCAGGAGCCAGGTGCCCTCAGGATGGGAGAAGGTCAGTGTGGGCAGGCAGTGGCCCCCACAAGGGGAGTGGAGAACACTCATAGGCACGCTTCCCACCTGGTGACTCCATGTCTTGATGAAGCACAAGGAAGGTATGGTGTACCAACATCTGGAGAAACTCCCAGATGTGCAAGGGCTCCCTGCCTCAGGGTCTGTAACAGCGAAGCAACAGAAACATCCTAAACACGCCTCAGTGGAGGCCTGGCTGCATCTCGCTGTCTGTGCATAGCAGAGAACGGAGGGTGGTGGGGAAGAGAGAGATGTGTCCGAATCTGATGACCGGGAAGATCTAGGGAACGTTCTGCCGTGTGAAATAAGCAGATTGCAGAACAGCATGTACATACGTGTTTAAGATCCAAAGCAGTACTTGATGTGTACTGTAATTTTTTACAAGGAAAACACACTTAGCATGACATGTAATTAAAAATTAATTTTTTTTAAAGGCAAGGGGCAGCACTTTTCGTCTTCCTTCTTGCCCCTCCCCACGCAGGCTCTCTCCTGTCACTGCAGAGGTTTGCAGGTGGTCCCACCACAGGCAAGGCAAGAGCAGGACCTGAGGGGCACAGGTCTGTGCAGCGGGGGCTGCCTGGCCGCTCTCCCATGCTGGCCGGCTGTCTGCTCTTTGTCATTCTTCTCTCTGTCCCAGAGAAGCTGCCAGCCAAGGAGGGGGCAGCCTCATGTTTGTCCCTTGTCCCTTCCACTTGGTAGTTCTGATACAAGGTCCCATTGTCAGGAGCAGGGGAAGGGGGTCCCACGGGCAAGCAAGGTCTCAGGGTTGAGGTTTGTAGAGCCAAGTGCTGACCCCACTGCCCTGTGACCTGGAAGAAGCCCTGCCTGTTCCACATCTGCAAAGTGAGGCATTTGGGGTACTCCATCGTGAGCCTCCTTCCTGCTGTAACATTCAGCACAGGTTTGAGGCCCAAGGGCATGGAGCTGTCTGTCACCCTTGTCAGTGAGGCACCTTGTCTGGAAGCCCCTGCTAAACTGGGCTGGAGCTCCTTTGCCCTGACCTTGCTGTCGCCATTGACCCCCTTCATGGGAGCATCTTGTCTGGACCTGGGGCAGCCACCAGCACATGAGGCTCCTGTCTTGGAGGCAGGGAGCACACTGGTGTGTGGGAGCTGGCCAAGGGCCCTGCTTTGAGGCTGGACCACCTCAGGCAGGTTGGCCGGCTCCCAAGGGCTCACGCTCTTCCTCCCACCCCTCTTCTGCAGTTTTCCGGCAGCTCAACACGGCTATTGCTGTATCCCAGATGTCCTCAGGCCAGTGCCGCCTGGCCCCGCTCATCCAGGTCATCCAGGACTGCAGCCACCTCTACCACTACACGGTCAAGCTCCTGTTCAAGCTACACTCTTGTGAGTGGCCCGGGGTGGCTGTGTTTATGTGGCGTAGATGTTCACTGTCCAAAAGGAAAATTGAGACATTAGAGATTTATTCATTTAAAAATAGCGGTAGTAAACCCACTACCCATTAATAGAAATAACATACATTTAATGAAAAAAATCACTATTTTACAGAACAGAAAATTTAGTGAGGGGCATAGTTTTCATATTTACGACCCTGAGTGCCTGGCTTGGGCAAAACAGAGGCCCCACCTGCTCCCAGGTACCTCCCACCAGGCGCACCGGAGATTTGAGCACAAAAAGGCAAAAGGTGTCTTGGGTGTTCAGGAGAGTTTTGATCTCACCAACCCCTTGAAAGGGTCTCATTCCTTGACCACACTTTGAGAACCACGGTATGAGTGTCAGCCCAGGACGCCTGTGTTTGAAGCCGAGTGTGGGTCAGGTGAGATGCCGCTGCACCGCCGCCCTTTCGTTTGCTGTTTGCTTCTCTAGCCCAGTCTGAACTGAGCCCTCCCACGGGGTCTCTCACAGGTCTCCGCCTCCCAATCGGAGAGCAGGCCTGGCCCAGTCTTGGGTGATCCCTGATCTAGGACAGTTTGTAGCACGCAGAGGAACAGGCAGGGCAGGCGAGCCCCTGAGCAGTGTGCAGAGAAGTCCTGTCACACTTGTGCCACTCTCCAGGTCTCCCTGCGGACACCCTGCAAGGCCACAGGGACCGGTTCCACGAGCAGTTTCACAGGTACCGCCTGGGGTAGGGCCACGATTGAGGCCGGTGGGGGAGAGGCTCTGCGGCCCCTCCCTGAAGTTCCCACCGTCTTTCCCCTGCAGCCTCAGGAACTTCTTCCGCAGAGCCTCCGATATGCTGTACTTCAAGCGGCTCATCCAAATCCCCCGGCTGCCTGAGGTACCTCCCTCCAGAGGGCCCCTAGGCTGCCACCACTGGTCTCCGGGCCCTACACAGGCTCTGGAGATGGCAGAAGGAGAGCTTCCTGATGGGGGACAGCTGAACAGGTCCCGCCTGCCGCCTGCAGGGACCCCCTAACTTCCTGCGGGCCTCAGCCCTGGCCGAGCACATCAAGCCGGTGGTGGTGATCCCTGAAGAGGCCCCGGAGGACGAGGAGCCGGAGAATCTCATTGAGATCAGCACGGGGCCCCCTGCAGGGGAGCCAGTGGTAAGCCACCTGTCTCCCCCAGCCCTCCCCTTGCCCACTGCCCAGCCTGGAGGGCACAGGTGAGTGGGGCAGGGGTCACCGTGTTTTGCTGTGGCAGGTGGTGGCTGACCTCTTCGATCAGACATTTGGACCTCCCAATGGCTCTGTGAAGGATGACAGGTGAGGGCCAAGAAGCCGACTGGGCTGGGGATGGCTGGAACAGGCCTTGGCTGAGCTGAACTCGGAACTTTTGGTCTGGAAAGGCCATGGGTGGGGAACGTGAACCCATGAGGTGTCCAAATCCTGAGTGGCCACTGAGGAGAAGACAAGTTCCTGTGCCCGGGTCTGTTGAGTTTTCTGGTTGACTTAACTTGAACCCCAGGACCTCTGTCCCCAGGGACCTCCAGATTGAGAGCCTGAAGAGAGAGGTGGAAATGCTCCGCTCTGAGCTGGAGAAGATCAAGCTGGAGGTGCCGGGGGTGGGGTTGGGTGGTGGCCAGGCCCCTCCCAGCCCAGGCAGGACCCCACATCACCCCTCTGCCCACAGGCCCAGCGGTACATCTCGCAGCTGAAAGGCCAGGTGAATGCACTGGAGGGCGAGCTGGAGGAGCAGCGGAAGCAGAAGCAGAAGGCCCTGGTGGACAATGAGCAGCTCCGCCACGAGCTGGCCCAGCTGAGGGCGGCCCAGCTGGAGGGCGAGCGGAGCCAGGGCCTGCGCGAGGAGGCTGAGAGTGTGTGGGGCCTCGGCCACAGGGGTCCAGGGGTGTATCCCTAACCCTCGCCACCCCACACTGGGCGTCACTGCCTCTCCTTGTGCCCGTAGGGAAGGCCAGTGCCACAGAGGTGCGCTACAGCAAGCTGAAGGAGAAGCACAATGAGCTCGTCCACGTGCATGCGGAGCTGCTCAGGAAGGTAGGCTCAGCCTGTCCTCCACTGCGGCCAGTGGCAGGGCCTCTCGGGGATGGTGGCAGAGCATGAGTCCTTCCCCTGCCCGTGCAGAACGCAGACACAGCCAAGCAGCTGACGGTGACGCAGCAGAGCCAGGAGGAGGTGGCGCGGGTGAAGGAGCAGCTGGCCTTCCAGGTGGAGCAGGTGAAGCGGGAGTCAGAGTTGAAGGTATGTTCCCTGTGGCACAGGGCCCTGCCCCGGCATCCCCAGCCCACTGCCCCAGTGACATGCTGTCCTGTCCCAGCTGGAGGAGCAGAGCGACCAGCTGGAAAAGCTCAAGAGGGATCTGGAGGCCAAGGCCAGGGAGCTGGCCCACGTGCAGGAGGCCCTGAGCCACACAGAGCAGGTACTTCTGGCTGCGATGTGGGGGGTGGGGTTCTAGAGCCAGTCCTGGGCAGAAGTCAGGTCCTGTTTCCTATGAACGAGCCATACCTGGGTGCCACTCACTGGTCTTGGGATGCAGCCCTCACCCAGACCCAGGGGCTACATGGGAGATAGGACCTACATGGTCCTCAGGGAGCCTTGAGTCTGATGGGGGTGGTCACTAACCCCCACGCCCAGTCTGTAAGCATGGGGGCAGGGTGGATGTGGCCTGGGAGCCCTGTTCACATGCCCCATGTCCACGTCTGTCCACAGAGCCAGTCGGAGCTGAGCTCACGGCTGGACATACTGAGTGCAGAGAAGGATGCGCTGAGTGGGGCTGTGCGGCAGCGGGAGGCCGATCTGCTGGCGGCCCAGAGCCTGGTGCGGGAGACAGAGGCGGCGCTCAGCCATGAGCAACAGCGCAGCTCCCGGGAGCAGGGCGAGCTGCAGGGCCGGCTGGCGGAGAAGGTATGGACTCCCCAGGCACAGCAGCACCACTGAGTTCACTGCTGGCAGCTAGCGATCTGTCTCTGTTCGGCCTGTTCTGGAGATTTCACGTAAAGGGGATCCTATACCATGGTCCTTTTGTGTCCGGCGTCTTCAACTCAGCATCATGTTTTCAGGGGTCCCCACATCGTAGCCCCTCATTCCTTTTGTGGTTGAACTACACTCCACTGTGTGGACAGACCACATGGTGTTTATCTGCTCATCCCTTGGTGGACATTTGGGTTGCTTCCACTTTCTGGCTGTTGTGGGCGTTTGAGCACAGGTTTCTGTGTGAACATTTGCTGTCACTTTTGGGTGGATAGCTAATGTGCGTGGAACCCAGTGGACCCGCTGGGTCTCATGGTGACTCTGTTAACTTGTTGAGGAACTGCCAGGCTGTTTTCCAGAGTGGCTGCACCATTTTACCTTCCACCAGCAATGCATGAATCTTGCAGTTTCTCCACATCCTTGCTAATGCTTACTACTGCCTTTTTATTTCAGCCATCCTAGTGGGTGTGGAGTGGTTTCTCGTGGTTTTGATATGTGTTTCCCTGATGGCAAAGGGTGCTACGTTGCTACGTGTGTTTTCACGAGCTCACTGGCCATTTGTGTATCTTTGGAGAAATGTCTTTTAGATCCTTGAGCCCATGATTTAATTGGGTTACCTTTTTATTATTGAACTATCCACCCTGGGAGGCCTCTCTCTAGAAATCTCCACCACCACCCCCCCTCTATCACCCAGTGAGGGTCTCAACTGGCCCCAACTGGCTGCCCGTGGGTTGGTCCAGGGCTGGGGCACATTCCTGGTCTTGGCAGTGTCTCTAAGCTGCCCTCTTCGCCCCCATTGCCAGGAGTCTCAGGAGCAGGGGCTGCGGCAGAGGCTACTGGACGACCAGTTTGCGGTGCTGCGGGGCACTGCTGCCGAGGCTGCAGGCATCCTGCAGGATGCTGTGAGCAAGCTGGATGACCCCCTGTACCTGCGCTGCACCAGCTCCCCAGGTAGATGGGAGGGGCCCTGCCTCCTTCCCGTCCCCCAGCCCTGAGCATCGGGCTGCAGGGGCCTAACCCCTCCCTGTACTTGCAGACTACCTGGTGAGCAGGGCCCAGGAGGCCTTGCATGCCATGAGCGCCCTGGAGGAGGGCCATGCCCAGTACCTGACCTCCTTGGCGGGTGAGTGCAGCCGGGGCAGGGCGGGGTCTGTGTCTCAGTTCCAGCACCCATGTCCACCTCTTGCCTTTCGGGAGGTTTACAGACAGCAGGCACTTCTCCAGGAAACCAAGCAGATGCCCCCTGCCTGCTCCCACCTAGGAACCCAGCCCTGCCCTGTGGGCAAACAGGCTTTTGTCTTTGGGGCTGGGGCCACCATGTGTCTGCAGCTGGCGGGGCACCGAAGGGCCCAGGGCCACACGCATTGCCGTGTGGTTCCCACTGCCTTATGGATATTGTCTTGCCAAGCCCTCCTTTCCTCCTCCTGGGACAGCTGGCCGCCACGATGGTCCCAGTGCTAGTGTCTCAGTGTCATTCTCCCCCAACCTCGGCCCCACCCATCTGCACAGACGCTTCCGCCCTGGTAGCAGCCCTGACCCGCTTCTCCCACCTGGCTGCGGACACCATTGTCAATGGCGGTGCTACCTCCCACCTGGCCCCCACTGACCCTGCTGACCGTAAGTGGGTCCCAGGATGGCAGGTTCTGGCTGCCTCACTGGCTTGTCTCCCATGGGGTCTTTGTGGGGACTGTGTGGGGGCTCTACTCATGGCCCTTTCCCACCCTAGGCCTGATAGACACCTGCAGGGAGTGTGGGGCCCGGGCTCTGGAGCTCATGGGACAGCTGCAGGACCGGCAGGCTCTGCGGCACATCCAGGCCAGCCTGGTGCGGACTCCCCTGCAGGGCATCCTGCAGCTGGGCCAGGTGAGGCGCAGCTGAGTGTGGGTTTGGGGGGCTTGGCCCTGCCTCTGACCTCTGCACCCACCTCTGGGTTGGGCTGCAGAGGTGTTTGTGTGTGGAGCCTGCAGCCTCAGGACACAGGGTGGGGACCATGCACCCTCCTCAATCCCTCTGGCCCCCAACCTCCATCCCAGGCCCTGTCTGACTCCCATCCTCTGCAGGAACTGAAACCTAAGAGCCTAGATGTGCGGCAGGAGGAGCTGGGGGCCATGGTGGACAAGGAGATGGCAGCAACGTCCACAGCCATAGAAGATGCCGTGCGGAGGATTGAGGTGAGCACAGGATCTGGGGACTCCCCTCGTTCCTGTGGAGATTTGGGGACTTCCGGCCCCAACTGGGCTGGGTACAGGCTGCACCCACTCCTGCTCTCAGCCTCCAGGCAGGAGAGCCAAGAGGGCTGGAGGCAGCCCTGGCTTTCCCGGGACCACAGTCCCCTCCTCCCCACCAGCTCACGGCTCTGTCATTGGATGCAGGACATGATGAACCAGGCACGCCACGCCAGCTCAGGGGTGAAGCTGGAGGTGAATGAGAGGTGAGCCCCCTTTCGTTCCCCAGGCCCGGCCTGAGGCAGGCTCCCCATGGCCCCTGAGGTTTGCCCCCAACGGTTCCACTCACGGGAAGGGAAGACCTGGGTAGGAGTAGACACGCCCTCCCCACCTGCTGAGACCCGCTGTGGGCCGTCCTGCCGAACAGCAGCCAAGTCTCCCCTTCTCTCCTCTGCCTCCCGTAGGATCCTCAACTCCTGCACAGACCTGATGAAGGTGAGGGGGCTGCAACCTTGGGGTGGGCTCTGCACCTGGAGGGCCACCAGTCACTGCTGTCTTGGTCTCGGCAGGCCATCCGGCTTCTGGTGATGACATCCACCAGCCTGCAGAAGGAGATCGTGGAGAGCGGCAGGGTAAGGGGCCTGGGCACAGTCCACAAGGGGCCTGATCCCCAGCCCAGGCCCACCTGGGCATGAGACCCCCACCCCCTAACACAGGGAGGCCTCAAGGATGCATCTTACGGCCAGAGTGAGGGGAGAAGGGCCCCTGGGGACCCCTTTCCACCTTCGGTGTCCATGACTGGCACATCCTGCCCTGTTCTCTCATCACCACTAGGGGGCAGCCACACAACAGGAATTTTACGCCAAGAATTCGCGCTGGACTGAAGGCCTCATCTCGGCCTCCAAGGCTGTGGGCTGGGGAGCCACACAGCTGGTGTAGGTTGCCCCGGGGGGGCGGGCAGGGGGCTGCTTTCTGCCAATGGGAGCAGTTTTCGGGTCAGCAGGGTGCTGGGAGTAGAGGGGGTGTGGGGTGGCTCCAGCTGTCCATGGGGTCAGAGACCCTGGCCCTGACTGGCCCTCGCCCCTCAGGGAGGCGGCTGACAAGGTGGTACTTCACACGGGCAAGTATGAGGAGCTCATCGTCTGCTCCCATGAGATCGCAGCCAGCACGGCCCAACTGGTGGCAGCCTCCAAGGTGAGCCTGTGCACCAACAGTGACACACGCAGCTCTGGGCTCGGCTTGGCCTGGGGCTCCTTAACTGCTGGCTGTGGCTGCCAAGCTCAGGGCTGCTGCTGCCCTGAGCTGGGAGACCTGGGCCCACCCTGACCCCTCACCCCTCAGGTGAAGGCTGACAAGAACAGTCCCCACCTGAGCCGCCTGCAGGAATGTTCCCGCATGGTCAACGAGAGGGCCGCCAACGTGGTGGCCTCCACCAAGTCAGGCCAAGAACAGATTGAGGACAGAGGTGAGTGCCAGGCGCCGAGGGGAGCTGCCGGTTCCTGAGGCTGAATACCCAGATGTTCACTTACTTGCCCTCTGGCCACAGACACCATGGACTTCTCTGGCCTGTCCCTCATCAAGCTGAAGAAGCAGGAGATGGAGACCCAGGTAGGTCCCCACAGCTGCCCCATGACCTCTGAGCTCATCCCTTGGGTGAAGCCTGGACCGGGAGAGGGCTCTGTGGGGAGGCTGCGCTGGGCTGGGCTGAGCAGGCCATGCGGCTGTAGGTGCGTGTCCTGGAGCTGGAGAAGACGCTGGATGCTGAACGCATGCGGCTGGGGGAGCTACGGAAGCAACACTACGTGCTGGCTGGGGCAGCAGGCAGCCCTGGAGAGGAGGCAGCTAGCCGGCCCAGCACTGTCCCCCGAAGTGTGGCCACCAAGAAACCGCCCCTGGCCCAGAAGCCCAGCGTGGCCCCCAGACAGGACCACCAGGTGCTGTGAGCACTGGGGTTGGGGGGCAGTTCCTGGGGGGGAGTGTCATCCCTGGCCCCAAAGGGGCACATGGTACACATCCCTGGAGAAGTCAGGAACCACTGATAAGCCCTAGTGACACAGCATGTAGGGAGGGGCTTGCTCAAGGGAGAGGTGGGGCCCCGGGAGCCTGGCCATCACCACTGAGCCCCTCACCTTTGACTCCTGCAGCTTGACAAAAAGGATGGTATCTACTCAGCTCAACTCGTGAACTACTAGGCCCCGCAGGGGTTCAGCAGGGCGGCTGGTAGACAGGCCTGGGCCTCTGCAGCTGCCCTGACAGGGCTGAGGGGCCTCGCCCTCCACTTGGGGCCCAAGCCTGCCACCCCACTGCCCAGATCAGCGTCCTCAAGGCCCCTGGCCCTTACTGAGCCTGCAGGGGCCTGGGCCATGTGGGTAGTGCTTCTGGACGTCTCTGTCATCTGCAGAAGGAACTTTGGGGTATAACCAGGACCTAGTAGGTCTGAGCCTCAACTCTTCAGGAAATACAGAGAACGTTTTTAATATTCTGAGCTAGGGCTCTTCTTCCTACATTTCTAGTCAGCACACTGGGAAACGGGGCCAGCGCAGGGCTCCCTGCCTTCTGGACTAAGAGCCTGAGGTCGTGGATGGACGGAAGGTGCACAGCCCATGCCGGCTGACGGGACTGGGGTCCACCATCCTGCCTGTGGCCTTCTTGGGCACTGATTCCACCAGGCCCTCCAGCTGCGAGGCCTCTGCAGACCAGGCTCTGGGTGGGCTGGAGGAAATGTCATCCATTACTCCTCAGGCCTGGCCCTCAGACCTCTGTAATGGGAGTCCCCAGGAGGTGGTCGGATGCTGGAAGTGGCCGCTTTCTGGGGAACGAGGTGAGACAGTGGCCCAGCCCTGCCTTAGCTCCTGGAGTTCCATTTCCTGTTTTCCATTCCCCCGTTCTGGCTGTGCCCCACTGCCCACCTGGGGGGGTGGTTTCCAGCCCTTCGGAGAGTGGGACCTTGGCCCTAGGCCCTCCAGCTCAGCCAGAAACCCAGTTGCTGGACCAGGGCCCTCAGGGAGGGGACCCAGCAGCTAGAGTGAGCTTTGCCTGCCCACTGGATTTGAACAAATGTGTGTCCCTTGAGCCCGAGGGGAGTGGCAGGAGGGGTGGGACCAGGCTGGGAGGACAGACCAGCAGCTGTCATGCCCTCCTGCACCCCCAGCCCTTTAGCCGTTCGCCCTGTGCTCTGGAAAGGCTACCAAATACCGGCCAAGGTCAGGAGGAACAAAAATGAGCCAGAAGGACCAGCCCCTTGGCTTTGTATTAGCCTTTCCTCCTGTTGAAGTGTTCTGTTGGCAATAAAATGCACTTTGTGTCACTGATGCCCCAGAGGGGCTGTGCCTGGCTCTTCAGTCCTCCAGGGACGTGTTCCCTTGTCAGGCCCTGGCCAGGTGCTGGGTTGGGGACCCCATCGTGTCTGCATTTAATCCTAGAGCACTCGGGACTGCAGAAAGCCTCAGCACGGCTGTCACTGGCTGTGCGTGTCCGCCTTCCATCTCTGGGAGTTTTTACACAGGAGGACAAGAGCTAGCTGCCTCCACAGAGGCCACCTCCACTCCAGCCTCGATGCCCACAGCCTCCCTGGGGCTCCCAGCAGTTGCTGACCCCCTCCGTGTGTCTGAGACCATGCCTTAGTTGACAGTTCCTAAGTTAAGGTGGGGACCCTGACTCCCAGCTGGCCGGACTTGAGCCTTGGCCACACACAGCCTTTCCACTTACCAGAAAACTGTAAGGATGTTTAGTCCCTGGGTGTGTGGCAGCCTCACTCAATCACCCACTTTCTGCAGGAGCACATGCCAGAGGGAAGGCTGAGGCGGGTGGGCTCACCCTGTACTACCTCCTGCCAAGATGACTGGCATTTATGGAGAAACAGGACAGGGAAGGTCCGGGGGAGATCAGGCCCCTTGGCTGGCTCCTGTATGGCCTCAGACGAGCCTCCCACCTGTGCCCAGGTCTCCTGGAGGACGAAGTGGGGCCTTTTGGCTTGGGCTGTGTAGCCAGGGGTGCTGTGCCAGGTGGCTAGGACCGTATGTGTGAAAGGGCTTTGCAAACTGACCATGAGGGCGGAGACGGACCCTGTTCCTGGGTCTTGTTTATATAGTGACATGGCTTCAGAAAACACAAAAAGAACTGATTCTCCCCCAGATACAGACCAAAGTCTGCAGGCACTGACACTTGACTGATCATTCTTGAGTCCTCAATGACCAAACCTTTTTTGTTGGGTGGGGGGGAGACAGTCTTGCTCTGCTGCCCAGGTGGGAGTGCAGTGGCACTGACTCACTGCAACCTCTTCCCAGGTTCAAGCGATTCTCCCTCAGCCTCCCAAATAACTGGGATTACAGGCGTGTGCCACTACGCCTGGCTAATTTTTTGTTGTTGTTGTTGTTGTTGTTTGTATTTTTAGTAGAAATACGGTTTTGCCATGTTGGCCAGGCTGGTCGCGAACTCCTGACCTCAAGTGATCCACCAAGTGTTGGAATTACAGGTCACTGCGCCCAGCTGAAACCTTTAACTGGAGAGGCCGCCTCACACATGCCAGGCTACAAAGCAGGAGCCTGGGGTCTGGTCTTGCTCCCCTGCCCTCTTGGACCCGCCACTGCCCCTCCCTGGTCATCCTTGTGAATGGGCCACACAGCAGGAGGAAAAGCTCCCACAAGCAAGGTTCATGAGCCACAAAACTGTGAAGTCCAGCATGCTCACTCGAGTGGACAACAGATTTAGCTGTAAGCTTCCTGGCAGCCACCGGGAAAAGAGAAACTATCACTTTTACTTTAAGGCAAACAGGTTTCTCAGGAAATGCTTCCCTCTTCCTCACAGAAGAACCACAGAAATTGCTGCTGCACATCCCCATAGACGATGATGTGCCAGGAATGGCAGCTTTTAGAGACAGCAACGGGAGCTTGCACTCATCTCAGTTCCTCAAGTCCCTCACAGGGCATCGCGACCCAGACACGCAGCTCAGCTGTGGTGAAGACGCAGGCACACGCAGACGCAGACATGCAGCTTGGCCAGGATGGCAGGCACACGGGCATGGGCACACAGTGATGCAGGCACATAGCTCAGCCGGGGCAGTGGGCACAGGGACACAGACATGCAGCTCAGCAGGGGCAGGGGGCACTCGGGGACGCGGGCATGCACCTCGGCCGGGGCGGCAGGCACACAGGGACACAGACATGCAGCTCAGCAGGGGCAGGGGGCACTCAGGGACGCGGTCATGCACCTCAGCCAGGGCAGCAGGCACACATCGACGCAGGCACATAGCCCAGCTGGCGCGGGGGGGCACATGGTGGACACATAGATGCAGGCGCACAGCTCGGCTGGGACGGAGAGCACAGGGTACAATTCTGTAGCTCTCCCAGGAGGCAGCGCTGGCAGGATCCCCACCTCTCAGCCTAGAGAAGGAAGCAGCACCCACTGGGCTTTGGAGTGGGCAGAGGCAACTGCCTTTTTAAAACACCTGCTGGCAAGCACCCAAAGCAAAATGTCAGAGCCGCTGGTCCCCTCACCAAAACCCACCACAGAACATCCTAATGCGCTTACACCATTCATACAGCACATGGCGGCAACCTCAAGGACAAAGTGCAGGCACAGCCTGAGCCCCGAGGTCACCTTCAGTCCCCTGCTTGGACAGTGGCTGTGATCCTGAAGACATGCTCTCTTACACACAGGACTTTCTGTCCATCACTGCTGTTTATGAGACTCTGGTGACAAACCAAGAGGGTAAGAGGCCCCGCCTTTGAGCCAGGATCCCGGACAGGCAGAGATCCCAGCCAGCTTCCCTGCTGGAATTTTGATCACTGATGTTTCAGAACCACACACATCATGAACATCCACACCCCCAAGTAAATAAATGACAGGCCTGTTATTAATAATTCTCTATTTATTAAAAAGGGTCCTACAGCTTTACAGCCACAGCACCGGACACGGCCCTGAACAGCGACGGCGAGCCCAGCCAGGGGCCCCTTCGCAACGCATTTGGCTGCGACCGTGGCTGGGCTGTGGCATCCCTGACAGCGGCTGGTGGTGGAGGTATGGGGCGGGTGGCACCGCTCACTGGAGATTCACAGAACATGGCAAGCCTGCCTGACTGGCGTGGCAGTGAATCATCCTACACAACTTCATTTCCTTTAAGAAAACGGTTACAGTAGAGTTCAAGTCCGAGAGCAGGAATGTAGTCATTGAGGACAAAAGGCAGTGGCCTGGACCGTGGCCCACTGGGACAGACCCCACTTCAGTTCTGCCTTGTCACCCTGGTGGCTAGGCACAGGTCAGGGCCCTAGATGCCTGACAAGTGACAGGGGAGGGGTGACCCAGAAGGTCCACGGGTAAGCACCTGGGCCTTTTCTGTCAACAGATGCCGCTGCCCACTGCCGGGCCCTAGGCCTTCAGCACATGTGGCACGTGAAGATGAGGTTCCACGGGGGTGGGGAGAACAGCAGGTCCGGGTGGTTGGAGCACAGCCCCGCCCCTCAATCCCGTGGGGTGGGCTTTCTCCAAATCCTTACCACCACCGCCCTGAGGCCCAGCTACTAGCCAGCCAGGGGCAGAAGATACTGGCTAAGGATAGCCTGGGTCAAGGCAGCCGGACGTCTTGACCACATGTAATAGGGCAATGAACTTGGACAAGCCCTTCAGAGAAAGCAGAGCCGCCGGGGGCCCTGCCCAGCCCCTAGCAGGTGTGAGTCCTGGCACCTGGGGAACTAAGGCACAGCACGGACACCCGAGGGTAGGAAATCGCATCCGCTTCATCTGCATTTCAATCTGCTCAAGACAATATTTGCATTTTTTATAAAATTTCCCTGAATGGTCTTGGGAGTGTCAAAAAATTTTCTTTTTCAATATAAAACAGGAAAATCACACATGTAGTAAAAATATTGGGGGATTATTTCTTCATAGAAACCTTCGGGGCCGGCTCGAGGCAGGAGGGAGAGAAGCAGCTGGGGACACGATTTGCTGTGCAAAGTCCCGCTCGTGCGGTCCCCTCCCACACCGGTGGCCATTCTCCAGCCTCTGGACTCGGCAGTGGGCCCAGTGCAAACTTTGCTTGTGGCTCTGAAGCAAGAGCAGCAGCCAGGTCAGGCGGTGACTGTGATGACCTCTCCCCAACAGATTCAGTGAGCAACAACACAGCTGCAGATGGCAGCCCGGCCACAGCACTCTTCCAGGCTGGCTGGCGCCCACCCACCCTCACCAGGGCTGCAGCGGCCACTGGGTGAGACACACATGACTGTTTTTGAAAATAAAATAAGTATCATGAACCATGCTCATTAAATAAAGCTGCAATGGGAGGACCACGATTCTAAAAGGGAATGAGGGAAGACGCTTTGTCTCTTCCCAAACATGAGTTCGTCAACACTAAGATACTTAGACATCACATGGAGAATGCAAACCGATGCGATGCGCGGGTGTCAGGCGGCGACCCGGCACACACAACTGCCTCGGTGCCCAAAACCTGGGCTTCTACTACTCACCACTGACCTACAGTTCTAAAACCAGATAGACACGCTGGCCCAGGGCCCTGGAGCCCTTGGCACAGAGCAGACCTCCAGCCTCCCTCCCATCTGCAGAGCGCAGCACAGCAGGCGGAGGGTCTCCCAGGAAGGACGGCTCTGGTGCTCACTGGAGGATGAAGCCCGGCTGGTGCGGAGGCAGCCGGGGCGGGGGTCTCTGAGGGAGAGCTGGTGGATACGGGGACACGAACTGTGCAGAGAATCCTTGCTGAGTGGGGAGCCCCACACGGGGGGGCAAGGGCGGACACTGTAATCCTGGGTACGGCACAGCCTGTCCCGAGGCCATGGCCGTGGTGAACGGGGTGGCTAGGCGAACTGCAGGCACTGGGGGTGGTGGGGGGGGGATGCGTCGAGGCGCAACAGCGGAGGGCCCACTGGCCTCTGGGGCAGAGTAGGGAAGGGGGGCAGTAGGTGCCTGCTCGGGCAGCCTGGGTGGCAGCGGGGCCAAAGCCTGTGGGAGTCTCTGCCCCTTCAGCACCATCTCCTGGAGCTTCTCAATTTTCACCCGTCGCATGTGGGCCAGTTTCCGTTTGCTCTGATAGACATCAATGAAGGAATCCAGAGGAAGCTCTCCATCCAGAAACTTCTCTGCCATGTTCTGAAAAAGGCAGAAACCTGGTTACAGCAACAGACAAATGGGGAGGACGCTCCCTTCATGTCTAGGCACAAGGACAGGCAACGCCCAGCTGCTTCCAACACCACCCCTCCCTCTAACCTCCAGAGGGCCCCACTCCTACTCCAGATCCCAGAGGTCATGGGCTCAGGCTGACCTCAGCACAAGCTGCCACCAGGTGGAGCGGAGGGCAGTCCTGCTGCGCACACCACCACCAGCGCAACAGGCAGAGGCCCAGGAGGAGCTGGCCTTTGGGTGAGGGTCCCAACTCCTGGGTTCCAGGCCTCTCTTGAGCCCGCTGGAGTCCAACATCCCCTTGCCTTCACCCAGCCACACTCTGACTGACAGACTCGCCCTGGGTGGGTCAGCAGGACAGAAACGCCTGTGCCCGCCAGGCCCCGCCAAGGCCTCACAGTTCATCAAACCCAGCCCTATCTTGGCAAGATCCTGCCGGCCCAGCCTGCAACAACTGTGCAACATTCGACCTTGACTTGTTTCCATATCACCTGGCAAGGCTAAAGGCTCTAGTGCACAGTTGGACCTGTCCCAGAGGCTCTGTAGCCCCCAGCTCACGCATGAACCGCGGCACGTGGTGATTTGCCACTGGCCCCAGGGGCTGGGGTTCACAGGGTGGCACGCATGCCCTCTCTTGACCCTCCCTCAACCCTGCCCTCACTCCCCCTGCTGCTCCCTGGACCCCTGCCTGGCACTTTCCCCAGCCCACACGCCAGGCTTCCTGCTGGCATGCAGCCAGGTGGCACCACCTAGGAGGCACCACCTCCTGACTCTGCCGGTGCAGCACTCCTGGTTTCTGGAGACAGTGGGCCCACTGACAGCCCAAAGTGACTCAAGGATTCCACCAAGGATGGCTGGCTTTACCTCAGTGTCTTCCTCAATCTTGGCCCCTTCTGCTTGAAGAAGTGCTAACAGGGTCTCCAAGGAAGCACTGCTAGACTGTCTGTCTGGAAGAGAAGCAAGAAGCATGAAAGAGTAAGGGAGGCTGGGCACGGTGGCTCAAGCCTGTAATCCCAGCACTTTGGGAGGCCGAGGCGGGTGGATCACGAGGTCAAGAGATCGAGACCATCCTGGTCAATTTGGTGAAACCCCGTCTCTACTAAA